AATGATTTGTTAGTTACTAACGAAAATCTAATGTTTAGACCTTGGTGTCCGATTTTAATAGAAGATAAACTTAAAAACTTAAGTTTGGTTATGATGTCGCAATTCAGGAATTTTGTTCCCAGTGCGTTCGTTACATTTTGTTCTAATGGATGACTTGGAAGTTAAAATTGAAATTAATTCCATCAGTATAGTTGCTATGTAACTAAAAAATGTAATACAAAATATAAAGAAAGGGCTAATAAAGAATTCAGGCGTAGGAACGTTTGAAATCAGCTGGAACGAAGTAATTTCCTGACATAAATTACAAAATGACTCTTAAAGTATTTGCAATGGGCACACATTAATACTTGTGTATCCAGATTGATGGAAAGAATCTATTTATGTAAACAAACGTGCATGGTTTTAATTAAATAACAAGTGTAAATGCACTTGTTTCACCAAAAAAGAAATTATATTATTAAGAAACTCTTTTCACAGATTTCTGTAGCCTCCTTTTGAAAAGAGCTACAGTAAACATAGTTATAGATAGATTTGGAGTTAATAATAATTTCTTGCTCTCTAAAACAAGAGATATTTAATTTAATGGGTGAAGTGCTTTTATATTAAAGAGATCAACATAGATGGTTACCTTTCGTGGTCTATTTAACGTCATTTTAATTCTGTTCGAGGAACAGTCTGCTTTTATTAAGCGAATTTTACCGAAAATAGTAAGACTCGAATTAAATTTACAAGAACAGAATCTTATCTCGTATCATTCTAACAGTATTCATAATATTCTCCTAAAAAACAGAAACACTTTTATAATAGTTCCTCCTACGTAATGAAGCGAATAAAAAATTTAATTCCAACCATTATTCTTACCGTTACAAATCTATAAAATAATAAAGGAACACGATGTCCTGCCACTCTTTCGAGCCTCTTCAACAACATCGTTGGCCTTCGACAACTGCAGAAACCGCGTGGAAGTAAAAATGGCGTTCCCAGTCGTCAGTATCCATTAATACCGATTACGACATTGCGGGGGCGAGTTCGTTGGGGGAGGATTTTTAATTTCCTTCTTTTTTCCGTCCACCCCTCCTCTCTTTCTCTCTCTCTCTCTCTCTCTCACTCTCGATGCCACGACTTCTTCAATTTGTCCCGACGGATCTTCGATTTCAATTAAGTCGAAAGTAAGGCGAATAACGAGATGCACGGTGTCGGCTCGAACTCGACGCTCTCCGCGAAATTAATTAAACCTTAATTGAAATCGTTCTTTGAAATGCTAATTCTTTAACAAATACGCGCGACCTCGCGCTGGAACAATTAAAAATGCCTCCGTCGCGTTCCCGTCGATTCCGTCTCGACGACGAGTTTCCTTCTTTTTTTTTTTATTCACGAGGCGTTATTAGCGTACGCGTATCGAGCCAGGGCGCGCGACGCGAAAGGTCGAACGACGCCTTGAGGGGGGGAAAAAAGCAGATTGGAAGGCTGTTCTTGTGGCAAAAAGAGCCACGCGAAACGCAGGAAAGGGACTTTTCATCAAGGGCTTTCACAAAACGTGCAATTTCATCCTGATCAGCGGGTATCGGGCTTCTGCGATTTTATTTCGATCAAGGGGGTCAACTGTTCAAACGATATACGTGGTATGATTAAATATGTACATCAAATTTTATTTTATCACGAGCAGGTATATATACAAATAGACGTTCGGCGGGAGGGAGGGAGGGGAGTGGGGGAGGGGGGGGCCTGGGTAACTGTCTACGTTCTCTCTTCACCCTCTACTTGCTTCTCTTCGTACAGCGTGGAAGCCGATTGGCGGACTTAGGCGAACCTCCAAACGCGTCTGAATATTTCAAGTCGATTAAGGGAATTGAAGGTTTGATCGTGCAAGGAGAAATACTAGCTTAAATGAACGAGAAATGAGCATCGTTGGAACCGTGGTCTTTCAATTTTCTTGTTGGAAGAGTTCAACGATGTCACGGAACCAGCAAAATGAGAGAAGTTTAGTCATCGGGATAAATATTTATGGAATAGGGCTGTAAAGAATTATGTTTCATAATAGTAATTAGCCATTCAGTCAATACGAAATCCTGATAGTGGAACAACCTTTTCCACGGACATCAGTTCGTCGCTAATAAGAATTCTTTCGCTGAATAAATATTTTTCGAGTCACATTTTCTTCTAACGCAAACGTCACAAAATTAATAAAATTGTTCAGAACTGACGTTCACGTCTAAAAAATTTTAGATTCATTTATAAACTAACTTCCATTTATATGTTTCTATTTCTCCTTGCAACCAGACCCTTGGAGACCCGCTTGTCCGGCCAATTGCCTTCCAAGCGAACGGTTCCGCAATACCGTAGTCGTTTATTACGTAATTATGCACAATTCTTCGCCTTAACGTATTAATACTGCAGAATATTGTTTATGTCAAAATGCGTCTGCCGCCTCCTCCTCTGCACTTTGAATCTATATGCTACAAGAGATATTTATCTAGTCTCGTGGTAACCGAGGAGCTCGATCATCATTTCGCGTTGTTTCTAAACAAATTCTGGAAGAGTTCGTTTTGTCAGAACGGTGACACTTGGCGCTCGTTCGTACGCACCACCGAAAGGCAAAATCGATCATCGCGCGGAGAACGCTGGATCCGTTCGTCGATCGTCCATCTCGTTCCACGGGATCTGTCGTCCGCTAAAATGAAACGAGTGACAAGTGTCGTCCGTAAATTCGTGCCGTGAGCCGCCATTTTGGCTGGCGTGTCTCTGGATTCTCGCGCGCTCATCCGAGGTACATGATTATCAAACAATTATGCTAATCGTATTTTGGATACAGGACCAGTTTAACGGGGAAAACGATCGTTCGGCCGGCCCGGGCCATTGACCCTTTGTACCAATTAATTTCATCGAGATGCGTCGCTCGCATGCTCGCCCTTCGCCGATCGATTCGATCCACCAAGCTGTTCCTTCGCCAATAATTCTCTTATTTAATCGCGAAACCGTTTTCAGAACGCATGGTCGCAGGCTCTCGATCTGTCGCTGTCGATGTTGAACTGACGGATCAAAAGAATTTAATTCTCATCGATTTAATTTAGAAAGCATCGAATAACGATTTCGAGAATATGACGATATTAAAAAATCGAATCGAAAGCCCTGGGACTCTCAACGATGCATCCTGAACGCGGCTCGTAGCTTCCACGAGTGAAACTGAGAACATACCATCGACTTTTTGAGGACCAAACTGTTTAATCGACGACTTTTCCTTGTTCGAACAGCTCTGTTAGGAATTGAGTATATCGTGCATACTAGGGAAAGTATTTTGGATGCAATCTGGTTTAAAATATACGACACGATGATTCGAAACAGATTTTAGAATATTAGTTTGCGATCGACTGCTTTTAGAAAAGAAAGGATCGGGGAAGTCTTATATGTTTTGATTTTAAGATTGCTAGTTTATACTGGGATTCTTCTTTTTGTTTTTAATAGACAGGGTATCCCAAGCTGTAACTGTGACCATGATTTGCAGGCACTTTTGACGATCCAAGAAAAAATGTTTTAAACAAAAATCAGTCAGCTGAAAATTCAAAAGAAATAATTTTGTATCGTAGCTGACCTCAAACCGAGTTTGACTCGAACTATGATCTATATTCATTGTGATCATTCACTATGATCTGTATTCGTGAAATTCGATCCAAGCAAAGGTTTCCACGTTACCGATTTTGAGTTCAAGATCATTGCAAGGTCACGATTCAGAATCAAAAGTATTGTTAACTGAATAGTCGACAGTATGTTTCTAGCCTAAATGTTATCAATCGCAGTCGTCTCGATTCGCCACAAAACACGCTGTGATTCGATGGCGCGTGTTCATCCACGCGCGATTGTCTCAGGCACTCGATCGGCTAACGCGTTAGCTAGCGACGAACTAGAAACGAAGAATCTCGGTAATCGACATCTCGAACTTCCAGCATCGATGCTACGAAACCACCAAATGCGTTTAATCGTGCGATTATTTGGACTCGGTAACGGCGGATAGTCGATAATTATCCAATTAATCGATCGATGCTTTCAAATATCCTAATGGTCAAAACATCCATCTTTTAATTCCAAACAATCACAATTGAATTTTTATCAAGAGTGTTAGAAGGACAAACACAGGCAAACCTAGCCAAATTCTGATATTCCGGCAACCTGGAAATAAACTTTCGACAGACCTTCGACCTACCAACTGCCACTTAACGACTCGTCAAGTTGCAATGTTGCTAGCTAACGCGTCGAAGCAACGTTCACACTCGGGATCATAAAATCGTTTCTGTCCTCCAGGATGCGCGCAAAATAAAATGATTCCTCGGCCGCGATCAAGGAAACGTTCCCGGTTTCATCGAGAACCGTGGTCGACATCTTTGAAAACTATATGCAATATATTACTTACTGAGCTGTACGGTTCAGGAAGTTAGGGGGGTCCGTGGTAGCTCACGCGGCCGGAGCTAAATCGAACGTCTTTGGATCTTAACTCTACCTCTCCTCTCGTAACGGTACAAAAAGTCTCCGCGTCTCTGACCTCTTTCTCGATTATTGCACTATTATCGTGAACTGGTACGCGACACCAACCGTCCAAGGGACGGTATTCGAGCTCGTCGCGAACGATATAACAAATTTGATTTACCAATCAGCCGGGCAATAACCGGACCAGGAACTCCACGTTCGCGATTACCACTGAACCGATTATTCCCGGTTGCACGATAATCCCTTTCCATCGTCCAGGACCCGGTGCTTTCTCGTCGCGTCCCGATATCCGATAAACGTCCCACTGGTAATAGAGACGACGAGTTCGAGTCGTTCACCCACTGGAAAGAGGGACGAGAGACGACGTCGGTCTGTCCACCTGGCGCTGGACGCTTCTTCCGGGGGGGCTGGAAGGATCGAAGGTAGAGCAGCTTTGCTTCTCGTCACGCCCGCGGCGTGAAAATCCTGGCCACCGTGCGATCCTCTGACGTACGCAGCCTTCGTGGGTTGTACGTTAAACTTCAGACCATTTGCAACCCTTTGGTGATGCTTTCGACGTGCTCCTTGGCTCTCATTCTCAGGGCCTGGATGCTGGTGGTGCGTGGATCGTGGCCAGGTGGACTTGACGGCGCCGCAGGAACGTGTCCCCCGTTTCCTATGCTCGTCATCCCTGCGCTCAGGGCTCCTGTCGATCAAACAACACGATTTCCGGCTTTAATGTCTCGATCCTTATCGCGGGCTACCAACTATTGCGTGCAACATCAGCCAAGAACTCTTGGGCACGGTAGAACCTCCATTACACGAGCCTCCTTTATCCAACGATCACACATTTTACAAATCTTCGCAATTTCGTTCTTTCGAAGACGTCATCGGACTTTACTGGCACGCAGGCAACAATTAAAATAGCGGTGCAATGATAGGTTATACACCCAGGAACAAGAGTTAAAATTATTTAATCAAAGTGTAACAGAAATGCAATTCAACGTCGCTGAAGGAACTCGTGGGATTTAAAATGATTCGTAAGTTTCAAGGAAGATCGTTTGTTCGTAATGTAGCTTCCTGTTGCTGTTTCTACTCGAATATAAAACGATAATGATTCGATTCGTTTCTCGTCATCTTCGAAAGAAACGAGATGCGAAGATTTCTAAAACGATATATGAAATTAAAATTGAAGGTATTCCGGAGAAATGAACATTTATTTTCTTGTGTGACTGGCCTAAAAGTGGACAATATATTCTTCCAAACTATAACAATATGTCTATCGACCCCTACCAGATCGGATAATGGAGGTTTTACTGTGTTTGAAGGAGTTACGGGTATCTTACTTGATATCCGCCGATACTATAATCAATCTTCTCGGTCAACGATCGATCGAGGTCGGTAGAAAACTATACTGGGCGCCAAATATTTTGGCCTCTCAAGGCCACTGAGGGGTAACTCCCACTATACCATCTAGCTACTCTGCCGCTCTACCTCTTCGCTCCGCGCTCGCTCCGTCGCATTGTTTGTCTTAAAGCCAATAAGAAAGAAAGAGAGACATCAGGCTACCGAAACGAGCATCTGTAGAAGAAGAGTGAGAAGGTAAATATGAGATCGAACGAGTCAAGCAAATATGTTTGGCAGTTAGAAGACGAACGAAGATTGTACTACGGTGGGCTGTGAGCTCAAACGGACTGGCCTTGAGGGGCCAAAATATTTGGCGCCCAGTATAGGAACCGAATCTCCGTGTAATTAACAATTCCAAAGTAAATGTGCCAAGTGTCTTACAGTTCTCTGTCCTAGACCTAATTCTGACCGAAATCTGAGTTTTCACATTAAAGTTTACTATAAATAGGTAACTGTTTTTATCGTAGCTTAATCTAGACCTCGTAGGTGGAACTATCGATAGAAAAAGATTTCTTTATGTAAGATATTTCCTGGACAGTGTGACAGTTTCTTCGTCACGGAGAAAATGTTTGTACCTGTTCGTGAAGTTTCTTGCACAGTCGCATGAGACTGTCCATAACACGTGGTATCCACTTTAGTGCATGACAGGAGACATAAAGGCAATAGAGAAGGTTTACATAAACGTTTACCCTGTTCAATCTTATTCCCAAGTTACAGCTATTTTTGTACTCGGATAAATGTTGATTATAAACTCAAGTAGTGATATAAGCAAGTCGAGAAAAGTTAAAGACTCAGAGACATGCTTGGGATCCATTCTTGATATGCTACAATTGAGTAAAATACACACAGATGCACCAGCCAGCGTCGACTAGTTTTCTCTTCCAACTTCCGATGACACTGGAATTTCTTTCGATTTCCTTACAATACAATTGATTCGACTAAAACTGTTTTTACACAACGCTTGATATCTCGTTGTTAGCTTTCAGCCTTGTCGACTATTTTCTACAAGTTACTCTAGTCCATTCTCTTGGAAATGCTAATTTGATGTTTCATAATTTCTTTATTTGTTGCGTGTTAGAAGAAATAATAAATAACAGATGCAACGAACACATGAAATCTTTGAAAGACAAAAACAACTGCAGATTTGCATTCAGCCTGATGATTGTTTCGTTTCTACGAAGGAAAGCAATTTTATATTACCGAGACACAAAAATGACTTTGGAAATAAGATTAAATATTGTTTGTAGAAATTTTTTAAACTGTTTTTATGTTCCCTGTGCGTTACTGAAGCAGGTACCACATATTACGAAACATTCTGTGTAGGTTTTCCTTTCCGAGTTGCTCAATTATCTTTGAATTCTCGAGGAAATATTATTAGGACAAGGATCTTACCCGGTACGGCGTTTCCAACGGCGGCGACGTTCGGTGGCGATGGCAGTCGTCTCGGGGACGTCAGATAACTGGGATATCCCGAATGAGGTGAAGCCAGGAAGCCAGGAAGGGCGCTTAACAGACCCGGAGGAGTGAGCCAAGGATCCCCAGGTAACCCCAGAGCCGGGCCAGCTACGCTTCTGCGAGAAACAAGGAATTACGATTCGTTTAAACGCTACGTCAAAATAAATATAGCTTCTTAATAATTTATACGAGAATCACCTCATGTTGGCAGCGTGGTGATACTCGCTGAGACCGAGTCTCGCTGCCTCCATCTTCTCCTGCCTGCGCCATTTTGCTCGCCTGTTCTGAAACCACACCTGAAACAATAATATATTTCATTCCAGACAACTATTTATCCAGCGAACGTTAGTGAAAATTGTCAACGAGAGTGGCTCACTAACACTAAACCTACCACGATTTTTTTTTTATAAAAAAGCGGATAAAATTTCGTATCAAATTCTTGTTAGCGTTCAATGCAAATAGGAAATACACAGCAAAGATGAAAGGAGAGAATCTTCAGTGTCCACTGTCTTGGAACAGTCTAACAACGCATATTAAAAATAGTTAAACTTTAGAGGCGTGCAGTTCCGAAACCACTAGTGTTTTATTAATTATTGAGGTATTGTTAGAAGCGGTAAAGCTTCCCCTTTAAAATGGCTTTTGGTTTTTGTCGATCCGACTTTTCGTTTTCGAGATATCGTAATTTATGTAAAGGGGTGTTTTTCTTAATTTGATTGTCTCTGTCTCCGTCTGACGTGTCGCGCTGGACCTCTTTGTCGCACGTGAAACGTGACTCTCGTGACCTAGTTTCGGGCGTAGTATTTCCAAGAATTTACTACGCACTGTTTACTATTTTCGCGCGCGCGAGTTCATTGATCTCAATGAACGCAACAAACGCTACGAACCCTTATATCTCCGGAACTAGCCACCGCATCGTTTTGAAACTAAAATCGCTATATCTCCGGAACTAATAACGCTATCGACTCGAACAAACGCTCGTTTTAAAGGGCATTTCATACTCTATCCGATGACTATACCAAAGTTCCGTGAAAAATGTAAAAAACAACATTCTTGAAGGTTTATTTAATATTAAAATATAATTTTGTCCATCTTTTGAGAATCTTCACTTTTGGGGTCTCAAATCTTTTGGATTTTACAATCCTCCACTATTAAAATATAATCACAGTCCATATCGATAGTAATAGTAACTCTTTTTATAATTTCCATACAAGTATCGCAAGATTTAACAGAAACTTCAGAAAGACAAGCGTATACGTATGTACATACGTACATAGATATCAAGATTATTTGAAACAGTTAATTTACTCATTCCATTGACAAAGCACCGATTTAACTAAAACTGTTCACATTAATTTAAACGACCTTTTCGTATAGACTAACACTCTTATACTGGGCCTGTACCATAAATAAATAAATGCTGTTGCTTCGAAACAACGAATTTTCCTGCAGCTATATAGAGCCCGATGGAATCAAATCTTTATCAACGAATTAAACGTTGCATTAACAAAGCACCGATTTACCTATAATCGTCCACATTAATTTTAATGACTTACTCGTGTACGCTAATACTTTTGTGCTGTACCCGTTCCATAAATAAATAAATAAATGCTGTTGCTTCGAAACGACGAGTTTTCGTCCGGGTATATAGAGCCGGGATGAAATCACATCCGATTCGCCCGTAGTTTCTGATAAAAGATGTCCCGAGGCAAACTAAACGAGGCGGAAGCGTCAACACAATCTGGAAATCGTGCTTCGGCTCGTGCAAAATTGCCTCCGAAACGGGGGAGGACGCGGCGAAAGACCGCGCGCACACCGCAGGGCCAGTCGATTGAGAAATTTTTACTACAAGCGACGAACGAGGAGGATCTGAGGGCCGTCGGGAAGGGAAAGACAACCCCTAACCAAGGGTGGCTGGAAAATGGAGTTCCTTTGGCGCGTTCCCGTGCAGCGCGAGAAAAGTAACCGCTCACGGGCTCTTTCTCTTTTTAAAATTTCCCTCTTCGACGTTGCCCGTCGTCTCTTTCGCCGTTTTCGTCCGGTTCTCAGCTTTTCCTCCGTTCGTTTCTTCGATTTCTCCCCGTTCTCGACGGAACGCTGGCAAGCAACGAGCAGCTCTGGAGGGCTGCGGAGAAATGTCTCTGGGCGGGGCGGTCCACCCCTGGAGGCAGCGCGGGGCAAGAAAAGGAGGTAAGAAGGGAGCCCGTAGGGTGAGTCCGCGCGGGGACCACCCTTCGACATCAAGAGGGTAACGAGGCTGCGGGGCGAAATCGAAAGTGAGCGACGTGACGGCGCCTCCGAGGTGGACCCGAGCAAAAGGCGAGAACGGCAGCCGTGACGAGGAGGGATGAAAAGGACGGGTCGGCCATGTTGATTTCTTTATTGTAGCATGGCTGCTGTTGGCAGCCCGCTAAAGTCTATCGCGATAAGTATCGGCTGCTGGCTTCTCGCCTCATGAATTATTCAGCGCCGCGGAGACACGCCGATAGGCCCTATTCGCTGTGTCCGCGAGGAATGCACGCGGACGACGGTGGAACGAGCCGCGACAGGAGAAAAGAGACGGTGGTAACGCGAACGATCGGTCCGGCTCGAGCGTCCTTTTTTGGCGGTGGCCGAAGTCGCATCGTCACGACCGCGTGGACGGGGAACCATTGTAGGCGGCCGTGATAGCGATCGCGTTGTGGCTTTTCGAATTTTTTGTTACTACAAAATTCGACGAGCTGCGACTTCGTCGAGAGCTCGGGGGGACGATCGTTCGAGGGTGGATATTTAGCAGAATGCTCTGGGTCTGACAGGCCTCGTGCGATCGCTTTGTTTTTCATGTACAGGGTCAGGTACGAACTAGCCCCCACGATTTTTCAGCCCCTGTTGGTGATTTAACGAAAAATGATTCCTATCGAAGTTAATCGGTATTTGAGGGGGTCTTCTACCGTAAAAGGCGTTTTTTTATGTTCTTGGGCCTCTTAACGCCTTGGTGGTATCGTCGAATAATTTCATATATTGTGGCAATCGATTCATGGCAAGTTTTAAAGTTTTAACACTTAAATTTTAAAGTTTTTAATCCTATTTTTTATTATTTCTTTTAACACACAAGTAACATACACTACGTATTTTAACAGCGTAGAACATTATCCGGACTGTTACAACATTTTATTAGACTCGTACAGATATTTTATTCAGTGTGGTGTAATTCAGCAACAGAATATAAATTCACAATTATAATTCACAGCAGTTAACGAAACGAATGTAGTTCCAAGAGGACGTTTAACAATATTACAACAATATAATTAAATTTGAAACAGTCAACTCTTGACGTTTATCCGGTAATATTAATTTGTATGCTGAAAACAAGCGTCCGCCATTATAGAATGTACCTGTGCGTATTTAAATTTAAAATACGTCACGTGTTCCGCGTTTATGTTATTTAATTATGCAGAACGCTTGTATTATAAAAACTATGTGAAATAGAGATCTTTGACGAAAGAAATCATAGTTTTAGTTCCCCATTTCGGTCCGATTTCTATTAAAATATGCATTTGTATCAACATTCACAGTATTGTTAATTTTGATATAATTTTGTGTTTTCTACAGTTTGTTTAGAGTCGATGTTTGACAAACCTGTTAAAGTTCAGAATATCTTTCATTATTTCTAATATAGTTTGTACGAAACACTTTTATTTTTCACAATTAAAAGGTTATAGTGTAGAACAACTTTGCATTTGGTCAACCTTTGTTACGTCAGTCCTTGAAAAGAATGCATTGCATTTAATAATACGTTTTTAAAAAAATTACTAGTTTGTCCAGAGTTTCTGATAAGCTTTCCTAATGAGACCTTCGTTTCTTTTTGTAATTAAATAATATCTAAAAGGGACGGGTTTAATTGAAGGATGAAATTCGTTTCACGACAACTGAAATTTCCTAATCGTATAATATTCACTGAATATTAATCAGCATAGCGGAAGCGTCGGTGCAAATTGCAGAGCTGCGTTGGCTGCGATTTTAGTTAAATACATTTAATCCGCGGGAGGATAATAATTTATCGTATAGAGTAATGCTGTATATCGAGATTAAACGTTTGTTTCTTAACATTAATTCTCGCTTGATTGTATTTAACCAGATTTCAGTTTAAGTTGCGTTGATTTTTCAATGAATGACGAATAAGTACAGATTAAATTGTTTCTATAATTTTAAAAATTTTACCAAATTGACTGTCGCAACAAAATATAACTTTTTGTACAAGCACCAGCTATGAGACTGTTACCTATTTAATTTTTTTACTAATTTTTAAACACCTTGACTGGAACAGTTCTTTTTTAACAAAATGCAGCTTTCTGAATGGGACAAAGATACTCTACTCTAACAAAATTTTTGAGAACCCATTAAAGAATTGCAGTTTGGACAAGAACAATTCTCAAAGCTGTCAGATTATCTCACACCTCTAATATCATCACAAAATATTATAGCAAGTAGAACTGAAGGTGGCAAGAGTCCTTAATCTTCCAAGCACGACATAACATTCAATCCCAAGCGATAGGATAAAATTTGTTTAAATTTTAGCAATTATTAAAGAAGTCAAGTCACAGAGAAAGTGATAAAATTTGATTGGTAAACATGAAAATACACACTCGAGTGTCAACAACTATGAAAGGTTCGTGGATTTGTAGATATTACGAGAGGTCGTGCACGAAGGGTTAATTTGGCGCGTCGAACAATAAAAGAGCAATCCGAGACGCAGACATTCCTATCGTTTACAGAGCGATTACTCTCCCCCGATACAGGATACAACGAATAAACCAATCCGATTTCGCGAGAATCTGCAGATCCTGAAATCGGATTTCCCCGGAAGACTTCCGTCGCAACGAATATCCTCCTTGTCTCCGGCGGGCCGTGACGAGACGCGCGCGCGTCACCGAACAGACCCTCTCTCCCACCCCCCACCCCCTCGTAAACTCGTCGCGTTCCACGCTGACGTCGTCGTAGCATTTCTCTCTACCTCGTTTTATTATGTAATCCACTCCATAATTTCCCGTTTAACTCCCTGAATTCCCTCGGCTCATCGTCTCGCCCTCCGCCCCTCTCCCGGCCGCCGCTTCACGATGCCGTGTCGCGTTCGAATAATAAATAACGAACAAATTGAATGTCCCGTCGTCGTCGGCGAGCGAGAAACGAAAGAGAAACGGCCGAAAACGTGGAAGGAACGAGGCTAGGCGGGATGACTACGGTGAGACGGGCGTAGTACGACGGACGAGGGGGGGCGAAACGAAGGGTGGAGACGGATATCGAGGCATTCCCGGGCTCA